AAGAGAACCCCGAATCGCCGAACAATCTGTCCAAGACGCCTTGACGGCCTCCAGACGGCCCAAGAGGCCCGCAAAGCGCACCAAGAGGCCTCCAGGAGCTTTCCCACGAGAGCCCCCAAAGGCGAAGTTCATTGGTTTTCAATAAGTTTTTGGAAGATTGTGGCGTTCTTGCCTCTTCCGCTTCCCGACGCGCCAAGACGTCCCAAGAGGCCCCCAAGATCGCCCCGAGACGGCCCAAGAGACCCCCAAGAAGGTCCCCTAACGGCCGAAGATGGCCCCAAGACGGCCCAAGACGCCTCCAAGACGGCCCAAGAGGCCCCCAAGACGGCTCCAGGAGAGTGCCCAGACGGGGGACCCGAACGGACATTTCGAGCTCTCAGCCCCAAGAGGCCCCCAAGAGGCCCCGAAGAAGCCCCAAGAGGCCCCAAGAGGCTCCCAAGGGGCCCCCATCCTCTCCTCCTCCTTCCCCCCTCCTCCTTCCTCTCCTCCCCTCCTCCTCTCTCCTCCTACTCCCTCCTCTCCCTCCTCCTCCTCATCCTCCTCCTACTTCCTTCCCCCCCCCCTGCTCCCCCCCTCTGCTCTCTCTGCTCCTTCCCTCTCTTCCCCCTCCACATCCTTTCTCCCCCCTCCTCCCTCATCCACCTCCTCCACCCTTCCTCCACCTCCCACTCCTCCTCCTCCCCCTGCCCCCCCCCTCGTTTTCATCTTCGTCGTTCTCGGGGTCGGCGGCACCGGCCGTAAGGCCTGCGCAATAGGCTCATCAGCGGGCGGGGACAAGCCGGGAAACTCTCCGAGCCTGCGGGGCCTGGAGGACGCACCGGGCGCCGCGGGCCATCCCAGAGCGCCCCGAGAGCGCTCTGAAAGCGACTCGTCCTCATCTGGCCTCGCAGCTCGATCCTCGACCCTCGCAGCTCGACCCTCGCAGCTCGACCCTCGATCCTCGCAGCTCGACCTCGACCCTCGATCCTCGCAGCTCGATCCTCGCAAAGCGCCCCGAGGCTCGAGGGCGCTCCGGGAGCGCCTCCCCCTCGAGGCCTGCCTGGCTGCTGCCGCCCCTCGCACGCAGATCCACGCGGGCCTTCCGGGCTCCGCGCGGGCGCTGGGGGCCCGCCGGCGCCCCCGCCCCGCGCCCTCCCCTGCTCCTAACCCCCGCGCCCCAGGACGCGGAGGGCCCGCCAGCGCCCCCGCCCCCGCGCCGCCCCTGCTCCCGCGCCGCCCCTGCTCCTCAACCCCCTGCACGCCCCAAGACGGGGGGGGAGGTTCCTTGGATCGGCGCTGGACCGCCTCCCCGTGCGCGCGGAACGTGCCAGGGTGGCGCTGGAGGCGCCGCCAGGAGCAGTGCGGCTCCCATCGCACTCGAGCACCCGGGAAAAATATCGGAAAAGCGCCAAGCTGTCGCACGAGCATCTCCTCCCAGGGCCCGACGCGTGATTTTTGTTCCTAGGGGTGTCGCCCTTCAGGGCCCTCCGGGCCCAGGTGCTCGAAATTGTTTTGGTGCTCGAAATTCGTTTTGGCGATCGAAGCTAGATTAGGTTGGAGCATCACAAGCCAACATGGGCCAAACGCCGATCCAAGAAATCCGCGCGGACCGTCGACAAATTATGTTGATGCAGTTTTTCGGAAAAGAATTCCGCTAGAGGATTCTGATAATTAGTGGCGCACACAAGAGACCATAGCATAATTCCACAGAGGGAATGGGGGGAGCCCCAGACCCTCGACCGCCTGGTCCAGCAGCCGTTTCGCCTGAGACTTCCCCACGACTGATTCCACTGCCGGCTACCATCTTGGCCCGGACGGCCACGGACCCTGGTCGCATGGCCGTCTCGACTCGACCTACTGCTCCATTAGGGCGCCGTCGTCGTCGCCGTCGTCGTCGCCGTCGTCGTCGTCGTCGTCGTCGTCGCCGCCGTCGTCGCCGCCGTCGTCGTCGTCGTCGTCGCCGTCGTCGTCGTCTCCGTCGTCGTCGTCGTCGCCGTCGTCGTCGCCGTCGTCGCCGTCGCCGTCGTCGTCGTCGTCGTCGTCGTCGTCGTCGTCGACCCGCCTCTTCACCCCCCTCCTGTCAGCCGGGCGCTTTGCTGGGGCACTCTTTCCGGGAATGCCCGGGAGCCGGCGGTCCTGGACGACACGCCCCGGGCGCCGCCGGCCGACCCCGAGCGCTCCGAGAGCGCTGCGAGAGCGACTCGTCCTCATCCGGCCTCGCAGCTCCGTCTCCTCGGCCCTCGCGGCTCGGCCCTCGCAGCTCGGCCCCCGCTCCTCGCCGCAGCCCGACCCTCTACGCTGCCTCCTCGCAGCTCCACCTCCTCGAGCCTCGCAGCCCGACCCTCGCAGCTCGGCCCCCGTCCCAGCTCAGCCCCCGCTCCTCGCAGCTCGGCCCGCGGAGGTCCCTCCTCGGAGCTCCCTCTCCTCGCGCCTCGGGCCCGCGGCGGCCCCGCGGCTCTGCCTGCCCCCGCGGCGCGTAGTGGACCGCCGGCTCGACTGGCTGCGGCACGGACCACGGGAACTGCGCGGCGCGGCCAGGCGGCGGCGCGGGCGGGGGGCGCGCGCGCGCGCGGCGGGGCGGGGGGAGCGCGGGCCGCAGGAATATACACCGCCACCACCACGCCGATTCCCCCTCCCTCCTATGCCCTCCTAGATTCCCTTTCTCTCTCCTGGGGGGGGGAGGGGGTGAGGGAGGGGGTGTGAGGAGGGAGGAGGAGGAGGAGGAGGAGGAGGAGGAGGAGGAGGAGGAGGAGGAGGAGGAGGAGGAGGAGGAGGAGGAGGAGGAGGAGGAGGAGGAGGAGGAGGAGGAGAGGAGGAGGGGAGGAGGAGGAGGAGGAGGAGGAGGAGGAGGAGGAGTAGGAGTGAGGTGGAGGAGGAGGAGGAGGAGGAGGAGGAGGAGGAGGAGGAGGAGGAGGAACAGGAGGAGGAACAGGAGGAGGAGGAGGAGGAGGAGGAGGAGGAGGAGGAGGAGGAGGAAGTGTCTCTGGAGTCCCTGCATCATCGCGTAGCGATGGATACATCTAGGCGTCCGCCACCCTCTTCGGGGTATTCTTGTCCCTCTGGGCCTTCTCAGCTCGACTGAGAACTTTGGGCCAGAAGCCTAGGGCAATTCTCCGAAGGTATTCCTGACCTGTGGCAGTGGCATCAGTGCAAGGGTCCCCGAGTTTCCCGAGGAGCTGATGCGCGATGGCGCCGCAGTGGGAACCAAAGCAAAGACCAAGCCCAGCGTGGAACCGTACACGGTGACGTAAATGCGTGAGCCCCCCAGCAATGTGAACCTGTTTCCCAGGTTGGGCCATCATATAAGTGCCATCAACACTGAGGAGCTCAAAGCATTCTGATTGGCCTTCGGAAGATTGTGTCTGTATTCGCTGAAACTCTAGAGCATCAAGGGCGGCGCGTAGCAATCTCATTCTGACTTGGAAGGCCTTTTTCTCAATGAGTGCATGTTGCTGCCTCGCGGAGCTGCCGAGGCGGGCCTGGCTGGCAGCAGTGCCCGCGAGCTCATCCGCGACGGCGTTGCCATGGGCCAGCGATGGAAGGATGCGCCCTTCCAAAATGTCCCCGGGCCCCATGTGCGAAGGAATCCACATGATGGTGATACTTCTGCGGTCGGAGCTGGCGCGCTGTAGTCGCAGCCATAGATCGGCATCAGGTCCCCGCGGCTCCTGTAGATGACCATTCTGGTAATTGAGGTCGCATCCTTCGCTGCCGGTGAAAAAAACAAGATCTCGGTTGGTGCCCTCGGCCGCTGTGACGATGGCGAGGAGCTCTCCACGAATGACGGTCTGCCTGATACCTGGCAAGGGCCCACAGCATGCAGCTTTCATGTCCATGTCATTCTGAACGAGCGTGTCATAGATGGCAACTCCAACACCGATCCTGCGCAAAGGCGTGTTGGAGGTCTCCTGGACCCCACTGGCGTTGCGGAAAGCATAAAGGGTGTGTCCAGGGATATCGTCCAAGCAGCCCTTGTGGAAACTGTCAATGCCGTGGCATGTCCACTGCTCCTGCGGTGCTGGTGGTGTGGTGGCCGTCCAGCTGGCTGGCATGATCCCACGTGTCCAGAAGCATGCGTACATATCCCTCTGAGAGGCTGCTTCAGGGACGAGGAAATTAGTGTGAATGATGATCGCATTGTCCTTGTTTGCAGGACATTCCCAAGCACGGTGGTAGTCGTCTTCGTCTGCACCCTGGCACCTGGGGCAGCAACTGGTGACGTCTGGTAGTGTTGTTTCAGTGGCCATCCGTTTCCGCGTCCACATAGCGCCTGGCGCGATAGTGAGCATGAGATTGGCGAAACGTGTTACCTGTGGTAGTCGTTCCAAGTGCTTGATGAGCCGCCTGTAGGAGTAGTTGCCCGCACCATGCTGTAGTCCTTCACCGCCATGGTGGAGACTGGCTTGCTGCCAAAGCTGGTGTTGGATGCTGGCATCGATGTCGTGAAGCAGCTGGTGTGGCATGTCCGCGTCAGCGTAACCAGAAAGCTATGTGGCGGCGACCTCCCACGTCGCTCCATCTGCTGAGATGTCGGCCCGTAGCGTCCATCGGTCAGGTCGGTCTGGTTGCCATCAGTACTGCGTGAGGTAGTGGATGATGGTGGACTGCGGCCCTCTGGTGTGCCTGACGCGGTGGTTGGCAGGTAGTGTGCGGAAGTGGGCGACGACATGCTCCCATATGATGGCGATGGAAGGCTGTGGTGCAGGGCTCTGCGCCCACGTGGTGAGCCAGGCGACGAATGCTTCGCGCGGCAGCATTCGTGCGGGGCTGTTGCGGCCCACGCGGAGGTCGAGGACGGCAGCGAGGCACCTGCCGCGCAGTCGTGGTGCAATGGCGTCTGCCTGTCGTCGACGGTAAGTGGTCATGCGTGTGCTGTGGGCGCCATAGAGCTGGTGGCCGTAGGTGGCCGCAGCGAGTCCGCCTAGGAGTCCAAGCTTGCCCGGTACACGGTACCGTCTAGTGGCCCGTGCGATGCGGACGATCTTGGCGTGCATACTCTGGTGTTTATTGGTCCGTGCTGTGGCAGTGTTGCGAGCGTGTCGTGCTCCGCGCACCAAGTCGACGCCGAGGTAACTGGCGTGGTACTTGGGTTGGATGTGGTAGCCATGGCGTTTCATGACACGTGCTATGTGTCGGGCGTCTTGGTGGAACGTGCACAGGATGACGCTCTTCTTGGCGATGTTGAGCCCCTGATCCTGGAGCGCGTTGCAGGTGTCGAGGAGTATGCTGACCATGTGCCGCCGTATGGTCTGTCTGCTGGCCTGCAAGCGCTGCGACAAGTCGTCGACCCAGATGCGGCGTCGGGCGATGGGGTGCTGCGTGGTGACGCGTTGCATTGCCTTGTAAGTCATGATATTGGCGAATAGGGTGCCCGATCTGAGTCCTTGGACCACCGATCTGGTGGGCATGATGGCCTCGGCGAAAGCCCCGCTCTGCGCGAGGTATCGGGGCGCGGTGCACTGGAGCACCTCGAGGCCGAGGACATCAGGTGGGAAGTTGAGGTCGAAGGCCTCGTCGATAAAGGTGGCCCAGTGGATGGAGTCGTAGAACTGTCGAGCAAGCCGCGCGCTTGAGGAATGCCCAAGTAGTTGGAGATCTCCTCATGGAGGCAGCGCTCGTAGGCCTCCCTGAAGGCGGAGCTCCCTTTGGCAATGTCGTTCCAGTGGGCGAAATAGACCCTGTTCCACTCCTGTACGTGTACTCCGCGTGCCATGGACCATAATCTGGCAATGATAATCGCGGCGCCGAGGATGCGATCGCCATTGTCCTTCTTGGCCCACATGGCGCCCAGCGTGCTGAGGAGCTGGTGTGGCCAAGTCTGAGTGCACCCGGCGGCGTTGAGGATGGCGGCGATCTCGTCGAGGGCGGTCTGTGGTGGCCTGAGGAGGCCGGAAGGTCGAAGTCGGTCGGTGCCGAGGGCAGCGTTGGCTTTGAGTCGTCGAAGGGCTTGGCGCAGCTGGTCGCCAGTGATGGGTGGTAGGCTGCACTCGTGGACGCGCTCGACGATCCGCTGGAAGGCCTCGGCTAGGCCAGTGTAGTTGAGCTCTGTGGGAGCCCAGAGTTGCTGCCAGATGCCGACCATGCGGTCGACGAGGTCCTTGGGGTGCATGATGGTGTGTCCGTCGGTCCGTGTAACCTCCGCTGGTTGTGGCTGCGGTCGTAGAGATCGACGCAAAGTTCCAATGGCACCGTCGGTGATCTCCCAGTCGCGGAAGTCGCGGAGGGACTTCCTGATGGCGCGCTGCTGCGCGCGCCGTGCCAGGCGACTCGCCCTGGCAGCGAAGCTGACCACGATGCCGTCGTCGGACTGCTCGACAGACTGTAGGAACTGAGTCCAGTCGGCCCAGCTGCGATCGCCCTTCTGGCCGATGACGCGGGCAGCGGCTGGCGGCGAGACCTGGGCCAGACGTCCGAACGCGGCGTAGAGCAGCTGTAGTTGATGCAGTCCGTTCTGTCGAGCTCGGTGCCAATAGATGCCCTGCAGTGCCGCGTGTAGTCTGGTCCACCACCTGCTGCCGAGGTCGGCCAGTGGCGCGCTCCGTCGACCGCTGGAGGTCCCGAGCGACAGTAATCTGGAACTGGGCGCCTTCTGCTCTGGTGGTGCCAGCAAAAGGAATCTGATGATGCGCGGAAATGGAGGACTCCACGGGCGCCACCCAGCCAGGACCCGTGGAGTTGGCCAAGCTGAAGGGACATGTCAGGCTTGAGCCGAGAAGCTACGGGGGCATCGGCAGCACGGGCAGGCCGAGTCAGATGGGGCGGCAAAACACTGCCTTGTGCTCTGTGGGCGCACCCGACAGATTCGGAATTTTCAAATGCCGGGCTAATTATAGCATCGCTGATATGAGAGGCTGGCTGGTTCCATGGGGAGATAACAGGCTCACAAAAGGAGGTTCTCACGCTGGGCTTCAGAATTACTATCTAGACTGTCTGACTGCTCAACTGTATCGGCATGGTGGCAAGCCGAATGCGGAACAAATTCAGCAGCAGATGCGGAGAACGAGCGATTGTGAGAAGGCTGGCTGGGCTGAAATTGACTCCCGCGGCTGTGATCGAGGGGGGCGGTGGCCTGCAATACTTCAAGAATTTCCTCCCTGGCTTGCGGATGGCGGCTAGCAGCGACATCAGAGTGTGCAGTTGGCGTGAGAAGAAGGACGAGGCGTGCGCAATTTTGACTCCACGCGGGCGGTAGTTTACTAGACTGGAGCTGGCACGGCTGGCCTGAAACACGTCTCGTCGGCCCACGGACCCTCTTCCTCGGACTCGCGGCCGTCGGATTCGACAGCGGAAGAGTCCTCGCCTGCACTGGTGGATGCGACGTCGGGGCCATCTTGGACCTCGAAGTCACCGGAAAGGGTGGCGTGCATCTGTTCGCGGCGAAGCTGGGCGTCTGCTAGCTTGTCGGCGCGGGATGCCTGGGCGCGGCTGGCCTTGGATCCTGGGATGACATTCTCCTGGGGCTTGGCGACCAGCGGTGATCTCCGATGGGGGGGCTAGCACGCGCGCGAGCAACTGTTGCCC